GATAGGAAACAGACTGAAGGTTGATGGAGGGAGGTGGGTGGGGGATGGGCTAGTAGGTGATGGGTATTTAGGAGGGCACTTATTATGATGAGTACTGGGTGTTGTATGTAAGTGATGAATCACTGAATTTTACTCCAGAAACCAATATCACACTGCATGTTAACTAAAATTTTTAAAAAAGAAACAAAACACATGGACAAAGAAAAAAAGAGACACACCAAAAAACAGAATTTTAACTATAGAGAACAAACTGATGGTTACCAGAGGGGAGGTGGGTCTGGATGAAATAAGTGAAGGAAATTAAGAGTTCACTTTATCACAATGAGCTTTGAGTATTGAATAGAATTATTGAATCACTATATTATACACCTGAAACTAATATAACACTCTAGGTTAACTATACTGGAATTAAAATTAAATAAATAAAGCAGGGGATTTACAGAAAATAAAATAAAATAAAAAGTAATATGTTAAGGGTTCTAGTGGAAAAAGAGACAACATGCAAGAACAGATGGATAATGTAAGCAGAGAGAAGGAAACTCTAAGAAAGAATCAAAAGGATCTGTTAGAAATAAGAAACACTGTAACAGAAATGAGGAATGCCTTCCATAGTTTCATAAGCAGACTGGATACAGCCAAGAATCATTAAAGGTGAAGATATGGCAATAGAAAACTTTCCAAACTGAAATGCAAAGAGAAAAAATTTTGAAAAAAATCAAACATGACATCCAAAAACTGTGGGAAAATTTTAAAATGAAACATATGTATAATTGGAATATAAAGAGAAAATGGAACAGAATAAATATTTAAAGTGATAAATGGCTGGAAATTTTCCAAAATTAATAACAGACACCAAACCTCAAGTCCAGAAAGCTCAGAGAATACCATGCAGAATAAAAACAAAACAAAAAATCCCACCCTCCTACTATGCATATCATATTCAAATTGCTGGAAACCAGAAATCTTTAAAGAAGCCAAAGCGAGGGGAAACACCTTACCTGTAGAGGAACAAGGATAAGAATTACAGTGGACATTTTGTCAGAAACCATGTAAGCAAGAAAAGAGCGGAGTAGAATAAAGTATTGAAAGAAAAAAATTACCTATCCAGAATTCTATGATATTATCCTTCAAAAGCAAAGGAGAAATAGAGACTCTCAGTCAAACAAAAATTGAGGAAATTCATTGTCAGATCACCTGCACTGCAAGAAATGTCAAAATGTCTTTGGAAGAATAAATACCGACAGTCAGGAATTCGGATCGACATAATGGAAAGAACATCAGAGAAGGAATAAATGAAGGTGAAATAGCATGGGTGATTTTTTTTTTATTCTTAGTTGATCATTAGATAAGTGTTTGAAATAATAACAACAATGTATTGAGTGACTATAATGTATGGATAAGTGAAATGACTGACAACAATGTTGTGAGAGAAAGCAGGGAGGAATTATATGTCTCAGCATTTTTACTGTCTCAAAACTCATCTCTTGCAGTGCATTACTTTGGAAAATGGACCTTTGTGACTGACTGATAAACTATTAGAATATTTTCACTTTGGAGTCTGAATTTAGTCTAAGGTTTTTCAGACACACGATCTTTACTAACTTTTATTTGCCATACAAGTTTCTCCACAACCTTTAAGAAAGGCCCGAATCCTAAACATTTTAAAGTGAAACTTTATTTGCTCCCTTTTCCATAATCCTATGTCTGGAAACCAGAAGGAGTATAAATCTCTGAAACTTGAACTAAATTCTTCTCAGACTTTTTTCTGGCAAAACTGGAAATCAGGTGTGTGTGGAGGTTATCGACTGTTGGAATGTTTCAGGTGCACTAAACTAAATTGCCACCATTTTGGCTGAGTTGGTCATTAAGTAACTTTTATTATTGTGTCCAAGCTACATCTTATCACTTCTCATAAATTACCAGGAACAAATCATGTTTATTTAGTTCTCAGTGGAGTATGGGCGCTATGCCATAGTACCCTTAAGCTACCTACACTTTAAGAGACATTTTTGAATCAAAGAAAGTGAACCCAGTTTCCTTTAGGACACATTTTAAATCTCTATATTTTTAAATTATTTATTCCAATTGTTTTCTTCACAAATCAAAAACTTTTTCTTTTAAAAGTTCTGTTTTCCTTTGTAGTTTTCCATAAGCAAGAATGAAACTGAAAACCTATAGTTTAACAATTTTTAAAATTATGTAGTTATTATACTGACATACCAGAGAAACAACATCATAAGCAACTTGCTTTGGAATACCTGCTAAAAATATTTTTCCCATAAAAGGTATACTTTTTTTGCTGGATATTTATAAAAAGAAGTAAACACATACCCTACAGTGAGACAGCCCCTTTTCATGAAAATACAAAGGAAACATGCATTAGAGGTAATGTAACAATGAGAAGAGGAGCCCCATTCATTTCATTTTCTGGGGAGATTTGTGCAGAGTAATTGACATTTTTAAAAACATACTATTAGTAAATTGAATGTTTATTCAGTAACTTTCCAGCTTTAATTGTTCTTTCCCTGTAAAATACAGTAAACAAATGCATTCCTAGAAGTTTTGACAATTGGTTCTTCATTCTCTATCCCCTAGAACTCAATTAACCATGTTTTCTACCTTATTCACATGGCACATGTATGTTCAGTCTGGAATTATTAAGAAAATAGGGTTAAGTTCACCTTTTATTGGGTGGTTTGTGAAAAGTCTTGAATGGATGTGATTTCAAATTAGTCTCTGTTAATGCCAATTCCCTGGATCTAAGTGAATTTATATTGGGTATTTAGATCTGCTTTATAATAAAGTAAACAGTGCTAGCATAGTGCTTGGTTCATGTAATTATCATTCCAACAAGGTGCACAATATATGGTAGATCTAAGGAATCTAAGGAATATAGGCTGCCTGCTCCTAAAGGTCCCCCAAATGGATATATAGACCTTTCTCAATTTACAATGGGGTTACATCCTGATAATGGTAAGTTGAAAGTGTCATAGATTGAAAATGCATTTAATACACCTAAACTACCAAATATCTTAGCTTAGTCTAGCCTGCCTTAAATGTCCCTGCACTAGACTACAATTGGGCAAAATCAACTAACACAATACTTATTTTATAATAAAGTGCTGAATATCGTATGTAATTTATTGAATACTGTTCTGAAAGTGAAAAACAGAATGGTTGTAAGTGTATCTGTTGTTCACCCTTGTGATCATGTGGCTGCCTGGGAGCTGCGGCTCACGGCCACTGCCCAGCATTGCGAGAGAGAAGATAAAATCACAAGTCTAACCATCTTCCATTAAGAGCCATCTGTATCAGTTTGAGATTTTCACAGGAGTAGACTGAACTGTATCCTGACAATGGTGGCCCTGGGCTTTGTGTGGCACTCAGGCTGACTTGGTGGGCTTCATTCTCCAGGCTCCCAGTCAGCTGGCCTTCGTTAATGAGAGGTGCTGGTGTGGGTCTGGAAGGTAGTAGGAAGGAAGAAGTCAGAGTATTCCCCTCCTTCCTTTCTGTCTCCAGCAGCTTCTCCTACTGCACCTGGGTCTCCTTCATTGTTTTAGTTCATGCTAGACAGGTATAGTGTGGTTCCAGCTTCTTCCAGGTAACCCTAGGCCCCTGGGCTCTGATAATACCACCTTCTCCCATGGGCCCTCCAGTGTAAGTGTGAGAGTAGCTATCTGCCCCATGAGTGTCAAAACTTTGGGCTGGTAGCTCTCTGCAGTGGAGGCAGACCCTGAAGGAGCTGCGTGGCACATCTTCATGTTTACCAAACTCTCTGAGGGCATAATCTTGTTCTGGAAGCAGCACAACTCAGAGCAGGTTAGAGAACTCCTCTCCTCTTTTGAACAAAGCCTTTGTTATCTGCCAGACTCTACTTCTTAGATCGTGTTTCCATGTGCTCTGACAATGTTTTAGTCTTGCTCTCCTTTTTAAAATGCTTTCTCTTCACCCTATCTCTCTCTAAAAGAGCATACGGTGGAAATAATTTCTGCTCCAAAATGTCCAGTCTCTGTATTTTTATCACCTTGCAATAACTGCTGGATAACTATGATTGATATTTTGGATATTTCCTAACCTTCTAGACATACAGGGACAATCTCTTGTTTTTCTCTCATTCATGGCAATCCATCCAGTATAGGTCAACATCACTACATTGACTCTGAGAACTTTTGTTGTATTGACCAAACGTAATAGGTGTTAGTTAAATATCAATTTCTTCCTGTCTTCTTTTTCTATTTTCTTTCCACTCTTGTGTGTGTGTGTGTGTGCGTGTGTGTGTGTACATTCACTTAACAGAACATTCAAGAATGAACTGGACCCTGTGATAAATCCTACTTTGGCCTGGTGTCCACTGGCCCTAGACTGAGATCATATTCAAGCTGATGTCACAGCCTCTGGGTTTACCTGAACCAGAAAAAGCAATAAAGATGAATAATCTTTATAATATAATATCAAGACAAAATAATCATAGACAAAATGCACATATTTTAAGGTGGTGGCAGTGTTTGCACTTCAAGAAACACAGACAATGATAATTCTAGTCACTGTCAGTTTAATAAATACAATTATTTTTTTTCTTCTCCATAAAATTTGCCATAAAAACTCAAGTTAAAGTTGACATGTCATTACTTTATGAAATTATTTTAAGAGCCCCCAGGCATGATTCACAGCTCATGTTATTCATGGATTACAAAGGGAAGTGGGGGATTGGGAGGTTGTATCTCAATGACTTTCAGAAATCAAATTACAAGCTATAGTACATATATATATATATATGCCCTAGAAGAAAAATACAGACCACTTGAAGTTGAATATCAAATTAATACATATTCTGTCTCAACTCATTCTTTTACAAGGTCATGTCCAAGAAATATTTCTTTTTTTTTTTTTTTTTTTTTT